ATCTCAGAAAAAGTGTCTCAGACCGACAATAGGTTACTCTTAGAGAAACCGTCGGAACATGAAATTAAAAAAGCTCTTTTCGATATAAATCCAGACAAAGCTCCTGGACCGGATGGTATGACTAGTAAGCTTTTCCAGAAGTTCTGGATGGAGATGAGGCAGGATATTATCAAACTTGTACAAGATTTCTTTGCGACTGGGAGTTTTGACCCGCTCCTGAACCAGACGAATATCTGCCTCATTCCTAAGAAGAAGAAACCCCGATTAGTCTCTGCAATGTTAGCTATAAGATTATATCTAAACTTTTATGCAAGAGACTTAAGAGGCTGATGCCACGACTGATCTCAGAGACACAATCCGCCTTTGTGGCAAAACGTTTGATCACGGACAATGTTCTGATAGCACAAGAGAATTTCCATGCTTTGAGAACAAATAATCGGTGCAGGGTAGACTTTATGGGCATAAAGACAGACATGAGTAAAGCCTATGATAGAGTGGAATGGAGTTTCCTGACGACTTTGATGCTAAAGATGGGCTTTGATGCACGACTGGTTGACCTCATTATGTGGTGTGTCACGTCGGTCTCATATCAAGTCCTAGTCAACGGACAACCGAGAGGGCGGATCCTACCGAGGAGGGGCCTGAGACAAGGAGACCCTTTATCCCCCTTTTTATTCATCCTGTGCACCGAAGCCTTGGTATCGCTCCTAAATGGAGCAGAAGCGGAGAAGAAAATTATAGGACTCCGAGTGGCCCAGGCAAGCCCAAGGACCTCTCATCTCCTCTTCGCGGACGACAGTCTTTTTTTCTGCAAGGCAGAAGTTAGCCAATGCAAGGAAATCATGGACATTATTAACATCTATGGGCAAGCATCAGGCCAAAGACTAAATGCGGCGAAATCTTCTATGTTTTTTGGGAACCGTGTGGACCATTCCCGAAAACAAGAAATAAAAGAGGTCCTAGGTTTCTCGAATGAAGGAGGCATGGGAATGTACCTTGGCCTGCCCGAACTGATCTGTGGCTCGAAAACAAAAGTTTTCTCATATGTACAAGACAAGCTGAACGGACGAGTGAACAATTGGTCATCGCGACTTCTGTCCAAAGGGGGAAAAGAAGTTCAGATTAAAGCTGTGGCCCAAGCTGTTCCGACATACCCAATGTCGTGCTATTTGATACCCCAAGGCATTACTGATAAACTAAAAACTACGACCTCAAATTTTTGGTGGAGCTCAAAACAGAACAGCAAAGGACTACATTGGATTTCATGGGACGAGATCTGTACCCCTAAGGATTTAGGGGGACTAGGATTTCGTGATCTTCATGATTTCAACTTAGCACTTCTTGCAAAACAATTATGGCGTTTGATCCATTATCCTACATCCTTGTTAGCGCGTGTTCTAAAAGGAAGATACTATAAACATACCTCCCCGCTGGACGACAACCAGACATACTCGCCCTCATATGGTTGGCGTAGTATCATGGCATCGAAACCTCTGCTCCTTTCGGGACTACGGAAGAGGATTGGGTCGGGTCGTGATACAAGGGTGTGGAGCGACCATTGGATCCCTGATACAGTGGCTCGACCACCTAGACATGCCAACCATATTGTCTATAGACTTCCCCAACTCCCGGTTCAGGCCCTGATTAGGAATGATACCAAGGAGTGGGATATACAACGTTTACGAGATTATTTTCAGCCGGAGGATATTCCCCTAATCCTTGGGCTCAAACCTTCCTGTTCCTCTAACCCGGATGGGTATATTTGGAACCTAACAAAAACAGGAGTATACTCAGTCAAAACCGGCTATGACCTACTCCAATCAAATAAGAAGTGCCCTACCCAAGATTTGGTCCTAGAACCAAGTATCACTGGCCTCTTAAGTCATGTGTGGAAACTGGAGGCTCCAAGTAAGATGAAGCATTTTTTGTGGCAAGGGATTAGGGGCTGTGTGGCGACAGCAGAGAGGCTTAACTACAGACACCTGGGCACCGATAGGAGTTGTCCTAGATGTGCTGGCCCAGTGGAGTCGATTAACCACCTTCTTTTTGAGTGTCCCCCAGCCATGCAGGTCTCGGCTTTATCGGACTATCCGTTCATTCCGGGTGTCTTCCCGAGTACATCCTTATACCAAAATATAAATTTCCTCTTTTGGAAAAGAAAAGAAGTGGCTCCTCGGAGACCACAATTCGACACCTTCCCATGGATCTGTTGGTACATATGGAAGGCAAGGAACGACATACTTTTCAACGGGAAAGCAGTCTCCCCGATGGATACTCTTCAACATGCGTCTTTAGAGGCTGAATGTTGGAGGAAGGCAAATGCGAGAGAGGAAGACGAGGAGGTCTATGAGGGTCCACCCCTGATAGAGGTTGCGACAGAATCCCCTTATCCCCCTCAAACCCTAACCTGTCAAATCGATGCCTCATGGATCGACCATGGCAGTGTTAGTGGATTAGGGTGGAGTCTAAAGGATCAGATGGGGTCTGAATGCTTCGGATTACGGGCATGTAAAAGGAACCGATCAGCTTTGCATGCCGAGATGGAAGGTCTACTCTGGGCTATGTCATGTGTGAAGCATATGAGGATATCCTCGGTACGGATCGAAACGGACTGCTCCGACCTAGTAGACATGTTTACTAACCCGGAGGATTGGCCAGCTTTCGCAACGGAAATCGAGATGCTTCAGCGAATACATGAGGGCTTCGAGGATATGAGACTGTATCATATTCCTCGAAGTAGGAATGCTCGAGCAGACGCACTAGCCAAGGAAGCAAGGATGAAAGGATATATTTTTTCCCATATAGATCAGACCAGGTCACACGAGGCACTCCCCGGAGGATCGACTCGTATGGCTACCACTTGATCTAGACTTAAATGGGCTGCCGCCAAAAAAAAAAAAAAAAAAAAAAAAAAAAAAAAAAATGTGTGGCAACACTTGTAGTTATGAAGGTTCAGATGAAAAGCTGGATTTTGACTATGTATCAGATGTTTGGTGAACACTTGGAACACTTATCGATCGGGATGAGTGACAGGAGGGGTCTATGCAAGGAAAGAGCATAACCACATGCCATTTAAAGAAATTTTGACCATTAGACAATGCAGGTTTCCAATAAGGAAAGTTCGACTAGCTATTGTTGTGTGATTATAAGAAAGGAAAGTTGGACCTGCAGAAATTAGATAAAGAAATTTTTGTTGAAAAGAATTCGAACGTTGATGGTGATCTTTACCCAAGAAAGATAAGACAGCTGGCATTAAGTGTCCGACTTGGTAAGCAAGCCCAAGAATCCTATAAAAAGGGACATTGGGTTCTCATTTCTCACACTACCAAAGGAAAGAGTCTTAGAGAGAAGTCAGAGCAGGAACAAAGTTGTAGAGACACAGAGAGATAGTTCGGCGAGGGGGAATCGAGCAAAGAGGATTACATGAATTCTCGTCAGAAAATGCAGCAAGGTTTAGAATCTTTGATCTCTTAAGATCAATCAAAGTGAGGACGTGATCTGTGGCAGTCTAATAAGTATGTTTTCCCTATTTTGTCAACATCTCCAATACAGAAGAAAGTATTTGGGGGATTTGCCAAAACCAACCTAAAATTTCATTTCAACCCTAAAGGTGTACCCCTTATTGAGTCAAATGCAAAACCAACCTAAAGAGGTTATGAAGTTACTACTTAACCCTTGTGACCAAACAAAAAAACAGACAGTTATTTTACGGTTCTGTCCTTTGCAACTCTACACATAATAGAGAGAAGTCTACACATTTGTAGACCTTCTTAGAAGTCTACTTTGTAGACATATTCTACAGTCTACATCGTCATTTGATCTTACAATTTAATTTTAAAAATGTATAAAAATAATTTTTGGGAAGTTTTTAAATAAATCATCAATATAAAGATTAGTATGAAATATATAAATTAAAATTTCATATAAGTGAAAAGTTTAATAGAATTTCTATTGAATTGGTAACCATGTGAAAGATAATGTGTTATGGTTTCCCAACAAAATGGTATAACATGCTTTGTCTTTTAGGGTTAGATTCATATATTAGGGTTAGATATTTGATTTTAATTTTTTTTTGTTTTTTTGACACACTAATGTTGAGAAGTTTATTTTTTCTATATTAGATATTTAATATAATAATTAATACATTTTTGATTATCAAATAAATATTTAGGGTATCAGATTTGTGGTTTAGGGTTATAGTAGACTTACAATAAAGTCTACTTACATTTAGGGTTTGCTCAAACAATAAAGCAAAAAAAAAAAAAAAAAACGGAGTTGTAGACTTACCCGTAAGTCTACACACTTATACCAAATTAACCTAACCGGATTTAACCAACTTAGAGTATAGTAGACTTACAATTAAGTCTACTTATATGTAGACGTATATTTCAGTCTACGTTAATTTGTGTTTACCAAAATAAATTATTTTAAAATTAAAATTAACTAAGCGGGAAGTGAAAATGAATTTTGGAGCCTATTTTTCCATATTGGCGCCAATATTTAGGTATAGTAGATTTACAGTAAAGTCTACTTATATGTAGACGTCTATTTCAGTCTACATTAATTGGTGTTTATCAAAAAATATTTTAAAATTATAATTAACTAATTTGAAAAAAAAATATTTGAAAATTAAATCTATTTATTTATGAATTAAAATCTGAATTAAAATTTTATCAACAAAATTTTAATACTAAGTCTACTAAATATATAATGAAAAGAAAAATTTTAGATTATATATTATAAACTATTTAAACAATAATGAAAAATATTATAGTAGACTTCCAAAGAAGTCTACTTAACCTAAAGTTTTAACCAAGTAATTTTACTAAACCAAAATTAAACCAAAGAGTTTTAACCTAACCAGAAAAATGACTTGACATATAAATACCCTTTATTATTAAAAAAAAGGGGCAGACAAAAAAAAAACAAGCCGCCTCTTTCTCTCTCTCGCGATTCCTCTCATCCTTCTTCTCCGGCGAAAGCTTCAGATCTCAGTTAATTTTTCAGAGTGCGAAGAGGCAAGTGAGGAAGCTTGTGGATGATGCGTCGAGATTCTTGGACACGAAAGTGACCAAGGCTGTTGTCACGGTGCCTGATTTCTTCAACGACTCACAGAGGACAGCTACTAAAGATGCTGGGCGTATTGCTGGGTTGGGTTTTCTTCGTATTATCACAGAGGACAGTAGGTTTTCTTCTAAACCTTTAGAAATGGTTTAGTGAATTCTATTTAAAGGCTGCGCCTTTATCTATCGTCTTGCTCTGTTCTCTCTGTTCTGATGTTACTCATTAAGTTGTTTACTAAGGGCAGAGAGTTGTTCATTCTTCTTGGAGCTATTAGTACTAGACTCAGTCTCTAGTAGATATTAAGCCGAATGAATTGTATAAGTATCAATGTGTTAGAATAATCTGTGGATATAAGTAGTTGGATTTGTATCTCAAGAAGATGATAGGAATAATGTTTTTGCGTGATGATATAAACTTTTTGCTGTAAGATTTAATTTTTCACTGAAGAGAAAAAGATTAGTTGTTTGATTTTTTTTTAATTTATGTTTTTTATTTGTAGATTGCAACTGGAGGAGGAGGTGGAGACATTGGGAAGATAGTTAATTTCGGTGGTGGCGATGGAGGTGATGAAGATGGTGATGATGATGATTACTTTGATGAATTTGATGATGACGATGATGGTGATGAAGGTGGACTCTTTAGGCGTAGGATGTTTCTTGCAGAGGTAAGGGTTTCGTTTTTATTTTTTTATGAATTTTATTGTCATGGTGTCATTCCAGTTTGTGTATTTTCCACAAAACCCATTACTAATTTGAACTTTCCCATTGACGTATGCTTTTAGGAACTTTATTGTAATTTGTTGTTTCATGGAGTTTAGGTAGAAGTCTATATTAGTATATTAAGTATTTACTGATGTGTTGTTTCATGTTATTGACTTGTATCCCATCGAATAGAATACTATGAAGTTTAATTACCTTAATCTACCGTAGACCTTTATCTACCGTATAATAATTATTGTCAATGTCAAAGAATAATTAAATGGTTACAATATTGATGTGTTGTTTCTTGGTTTTTGACTAAGGTCTTGTTGGGTTTGGTGCAGGTCAAGAAGAATAATTACCGTGGTGCAGACGTTTTCATTCCTGCATTCTCTCTTATTGGCAAAGCTAGCTACGAGAACATAGCCAAAAAGGTTTACTTTCTTCTTCTTCTTCTTCTTCTTCTAAAATTCATTCTTTGTTTGATAAATATTAACTTGTGTGATGATTATACTCTTAGTCTGGCTTCTATATAAGCTTCTTGATTATGCAATACTTTACTTCTGTGTACTTGTGTGTGCTTTGCTTCTGGTTTTGTGATCTGGTGATCTTTAGTGTATGCGTTGTGTAATTGATTGTGTTCTTAGTTCGCTAGCTTGTTTCTGTAACTAGCTTGTTGTATGATAATTGCATCTTGTTTTGCTTCTGGTTTTGCTTAGTCTTTTAGTTACCACATTGTTGTATTAGTTACCTCTTAGGACAATGTTCATTGAATGAGGCTTGCTTAGCCTTTCTGAATCATAGCTTTTGTTGCCAAAAGGCTTTCTTAGCCTGGCGATTTATTCTGTTTATGGCTTTGTTAACTTCAGGCTATTGAGAGAGAAAGAAGAAGAAGAGCTGGTATGGGAGTAGACGATGGTCTGCAGACTGATACTCCAACTCAGCGACAAGTTCTTGAAGATCGCTCCCAAGAGCTAGAATATGAGAGAAACATTATGTATTCATCCATAAACTTGTTTGCTTTATGTTCGTGTTCTCAAGCTTTTACAAACTTGTTTTTACAGATTATGGATTCAATGTGTTCTTTTGATACAAACTTCACCCGAATCAAAAAAATTATGAAACTTTTACTTTTTTTTTCTTAGTTCATTGTTTAGTCATTGTTCTTACAATTTTTATTGTCTTGTTACAAATGTGGTTACATTGAAAAAAAGTATAAAGGGCTTATGTATGAGAGTGTGATTCATTGGTAACTCAAATATCTAGGTGTCAACATAAGCTATGAGCTCTTAGGTGGACATGGAAAAGAACCGTTAACACACGTCGCGGTGTTTTCTTTATAACATCAAACATGATGTGAAAGTGTTAAACTTTTTGTTAAAATTATACCGTAGACTTACCAGTACGTCTACGATTATTAGCTAACAACATAGATAAACCAAAATTTGATAACTTCCTAATTATAACAGATTATTTTCTAAAAATCATTCAAGACCCTTCTGATTAACTAACACACACTTTCATAAAAAATTTTTTTGAAAAAACTTAATGAATAATACACAAATCCACCCATGATAGATTTTACATGGTAGACTACATATTCAGTCTACAGACCTGTAGACGTTTTATTCAGTTTACAGGTTGTAGACTGAACTTTAGGTCTACGTTTAGGTTGGTTTTTGCAATTGCCAAATTCACGGGTTACTTTCTGTATTTGAAAAAAAGATATGA